TAAAAGTATCCCATGGGAATACAAGAAAACTGTAAATATGACTATTTCCAAAATGGTAATTATACATTCAGTACATACCTATTCAGAACAATGGCTAGAACAGGGTTTTGCTCCTTGTTTGGTTGGAAAGAATCTTTTGAAATGAAGCACATGCTCCATATTGTACCACGTATACTAGTTCTTTGGGCACTTCTGGTAGAACTGACACTGCCTTCATTTTCAGGAGGATAAAATATTCTCTGAAATACCCACAAATAAGATCTCATAACTCCATACCTACAGTAAAAACAAACAAAAGCCATCCACAAATTGCTGCCACAACACAAAATCAAGTTTGAAAATTGCAATACCTCATCAATAATATCATCCCCAGCAGACATTGAAAGGGAAAAAAGAGCCAATCGATCTTCATAAGCACTAGTAGCAATGAAACAGCCACTGTAAAAGGAAAATAATGGAAGTTAAGGCCATCCATGACATTGCCAATAGCAATACTTTTCAGTTCTTCTAAATGAATCTGGTTTCAACATGCACACAGCGAGAAGAAAATAACATACAAAGCTTAATCTTTGGCACAATTCAACTTACGTGGAATCAACAGCTAACATTCTTCCAAGTTGATGCCTTGAGTTTCCAGGATCAGAAAGCTGAACGTGGGCCACGGGAAAAAACCTATTTCAAAAAATATGTATTGTCACAGTAGAAATGAGCATACCAAGACGTCAACGGTAGAAGCACTTAAGCACCTTCTCTATCAACATGGAAACTTGAACTAAAGGACAGAAAATACAACCTGTGCATCTCAATGCAAAATGTGAGAAATGATAGCTTTCCAGAATCAGAAATAACAATCAACAGGTCTTTCCCACGCATCTAAATGAAAAAAAAAAAAAGAAAATCAATTTAACATAAAATGCTATTACAACATATCACAGAAAACTGCTTGTAATCATATTTGCCTTTGTTTACTCTAGAAAATTAATTCTTAAAAAAAATAAAGCAAGAAATCACTTCACTGTGATGAATGAAAATCAAGAGGAGATGTCCTACAATGCTTCCATTATAGGTTTCTGTGCAGACCTGTGGATTTCGTGCACAGACCTTCTCATTCCAAGGTAGAATGGCAAGATCCTTAATGGTACCAAATACAGTCTGCTCACAGATAGATGTCACAATACCATCGTCACCCATTATTACCAGCTCTATGGACGTCTCCTGAATAATACACCACCGTACAATCAGTCAGATTAGCTATCTTTTTTACAGGAGCATGGTAAATTCACTACAATTTCAGAAGCAAGAAAATCATCTCATACAACAAAGAGTCATTCTCAAAGCAGCGCAAAGTTAGACAGCTTTCTGGTGGAATAAGATCAACAATCCAAAAATCTAAATAATCTAAAACCATAACCCTTTATTCCTTTTAATCTAAACCTATGTGTCATTTTTGGTTGGAAAAAGTCTTCTATATTTATTTGTTTATTATATTACATTTAAAAAAAAATCAATTGCAACCCCTTTTCCATATTGGCTCATGATGCCATTATTCCAAATGAGGCTCTGTTTTTTTTTTTTTAGATGGCTTTTGGAAGACAATTCTAAAACTACAGTTTTTTATGCACAAAATTAAGTTTCTAGCATAAATTGAAATGAGTGATAACACCTAATTGGTTACTAAAACATTAGTCTTCATGGGCATGCCTATTTCAACATTTAAGTCACTGTCTAAGTCAAGTTGTGAAACCAACATGATTTTTGGAACTAGTGATCTCCAAGAATCAAATATCTCTAATAGCCTTATATAAACTGTTTTATTGAAGTAAGAAGACATTAAGGAGCGTATGTAATTTAAATTTCTTTCTCTTTACAGCATTATCCATTATCAACAGTTCTCCCAATTTTATAAGGTAATCATTTACAGTCAATACCTTAAAAGTGTCTGCACACACATGGTGTGTGCGTCAAATTCTAATATGCCCTGTTTGCATGTCTGCAGGGGTGTGTCGGTGTGATATGATAATATGGCATTCAAGGAATTTGTTATCTGAAGTCATAAGATTAAACTATCATAGTCCATTACAAAGAATGAGAGGGACCTTAAATAGGATGATAAAAATAGATATAAATAAAAACCAGCTATAGAGTAAAATGGAGGCATAGCAAATTGAAAATCCAAGCTATAAGATAAACTAAAATTATTAGAAAGGACCATTTTTCGCGCATTGGGATTTAAACAAGAGATAAAGCTATGTCACTAGAGAAATGCTATAGGCAGAAGTAATGGTCGTGCTGCAAGAATGTAAGTAATTTCTAGTTCACACGCATACTTTGTCAAAAAGCATTACATTCAAAACAGTGAAATTAACAATGATTAACTATAGGATAAGGAATATTCGACTCTTTTCCTCATAGAATTTACCTCTTACAAATTAAGATTAAACCACACAGAGTGTGTTTAAAGCCTGACTAAACAAAAACTCTTAAATTGTAAAAACAAATGAAAGTACGGTCTAGATGCAAGTTGATTGTTGTTTCTAGTAGTCAGTAAATTGATCGAATTCGGAATGAATAAAAACCGAAATTAATACAAAGGAAGCACCTTGCCGAAAACGACGTCGAAGGAAGACGGAGAGCGGAGATGACCATAAGCGACCTGTAGGACAACGCTTCCCCTGAGGACACACTTTGCAAGGTAGTTAACGCCTTGGGAAGAAGCAGTCGCCGACGAAGACGACGGCGAAGAGGTAGATGCTTTTGCGGTCGAGCACTCTTCCTCCGAGAGCGCCATTTTCCTTTTGTTGTCTTTTTCGGGAGTGAAAGAGCTAGGGTTTTCCTTTTTTTCCTGATCGGATTTTTGGAATTCCGCTTCTTATTGTCAATCAAGAAGAGAAGCGTTTACTTTAGGTTAGATGGCGATGGTGGCTTCTCCTGCGGAGAGTGGTTCCATGCGGTGCAAAATGAACATCAAAGGTGCTCATTCTGGAGCCTGTAAACTCTTCTTTTGATTTAATTTGCTGGCATCACTGTCTGTGAGAGAGACAGAGAGAGAAACAGAGATGGGATTACTTAAATCTAGATTTTTTTTTTTTAATGTGATTGTTTGGATTTATCACACAAATCCAAAAAAAAAAAAAGAAAAGAAGAGCAGATTAATGAATGCTTACTTTTCCTTTTCTTTTTCTTAATAAAAATCTCTCATTTTCTTTTATACATGAGAATGCGAAATATGAAAACAAATGAGTGGTGTTTGGCCAAATTTATAAATAACTTTTTCATTATAAAAATAAAACTAAATGTTCAGTTTTTAAAAATTTATAAATTTTAGTTTATATGTGTAATCATCCAAGTGTAAGTGTCATAATTGCTGGATCGATTTAAGAAATGGGATGGGATTAATTTGGTATTTATAATTTAATGTTATTTTGACTTAATAAATATAAAATATATCTTTTAAATTAAAAATATGAATTTATGACAATTAATATCAAAACAAAATTAATTTTTTATTGATTTGAGTTACTTCTTGACTAAGATAAGTCTCTCTTCTTTATATATGAGCCAATAGCAATATTGCACAATTAAGTAACATAAGTGGATAATTTCGTGACAAGTAATATCAAAATCTAATCAAAATAAATAAATTTTGTTTTTACTTAATAGTCATGTCTTTTATATTAAAAATGTAAATTCATCACAAATGATGTTGAAATTTACCCAACTCTTCATTAGCATGAGACATTTCATAAGTAATATTATAAACTTAGATCAAAGTGAGATAGAATAGAATATTACAAATCGCACATAAGTTAGAGATAACATGAATCTTAGGTTTATAAGTAAGATTCTTTTTTATTTATTAAGTATATTTTTTGAGTTGAAAACATGGATTATAAACACCATGCAATCCTCAAAATCTTAAATTCAAATTACTTTTAAACAAATTTATAAATTATTTTTTTAAAACTATTAATGTATAATAACAAATATTTAACAAAAATTTTGATATAAAGTTCAAAAAATCTCTTAATTGTTTATAAAAATTAAAATAAATTATTATTTTTTTATTGTGTCCAATCAAATTTTATACTTTTATTTTGATTGAAATGTAAATTATCATTCTAAGTCATGTGATAGAAACGTAATATAATAATATAGTTATATAACATTTTTCATCATTCACATCAACGTTATTGAACTCTTTATGAGTATAAAATAACAAGTGATATTTTAATTAATTATAATTAATTAACTCTTAATTATAAAAACTTATTTGATTTAAAATATAATTAAAACAACTTAATTGAACACAATAAAAATAAATATTTATCTAAATTTTCATAAATAGTTCAAAATTTTTTTTAAATATTATGTCAAAAGTTTTTTTAAGTTTTTTCCAGTTTTACTTTACTCTTGAATAATTTTCAAAAATTATAGTAAGGATTACACATCATTTCTCATTTATCTTTTTAGTTTGGTATAATACTTTATTGATTTCATTTGTTTTTTTTTATTTCAAATAAAAAATTTTCTTTGGTTTATTTTTTTTCCTTTCACTTAATACTTATAATTTAGTTCAATAAAAGTTGAGTTTTTGTTTTTTATTTTATTAAAAATAAACAAAAATAACATTAAATAATTTTATACAATTTAAAGCACCTCTTTTGCCGCACTGGTTTCTCCAACCCAGCAAACCAAAACAACTTCACCAAATAAACTAACTTCTTATAAAGGCCAGAAGGAATTCTAAAATTAAAAACTCTGCCTATCATTTTGTGGAATTATGATTTTTTTTTTCTTCTCTTTTGTTACTCCATTTGCAATCCAAAACAATTCAAGAGACACTGAACTTTATTTCCTTTCATTTTATTATGTTTCTTTATTTTCTCTTAAATCTTAGAAATATTTACTACTATTAGACTGAATCTTATAGTGTGGCAAGAATAGGCTATTTTTGGCATCACATGCACTCCGTTGAAGAGAAATTAGGTACTTTCAGCTGGTTTCACTTCGACAGCCCTAGAGAGATTTGATATCAAGATTAACGTGTAAAATGAGAACAAAAAGGGTATGCTAATCCCTGATAATTTTACAGCATAAACTGATATACATTCCTCTTTAGTAAAAATCAAACTGCCACAAGATGAGAGAGCAAGTCAAGCTTTTAACTACACTCGTTCCATCCCTGACTCCAAGTATTCCTGGGAAACATAAGCTTTGTTACAGGGATCAACACCATGAAAGAAGCCATTCACAACACAAGCTCAAACTCGCTGTGCTACTGTCCATCTAGGGTCCCAAGTGACTCCTTGAGCAGTCTTTGTGCTTCCTCTCTCCTACTGGACAAGCAAAGAAACCAAGAGTCAGAACTAAGCAAATAAAAGTTGTGTCATTTGCTAATAGTACTAGTTAAGTATGCAATCACTTGCCAGCTATTACCACAACCAAACCACAACCAACTCTGGCCTCATAACAACATGGCTTCATTTCCAAGAAACTCCAGCCATATACCGAAACTACTTATTTTGATATTAGAGAAGGGCATTTAGTTAGCCAGTGATAGCATTTATGAGATGTCATGTCCTCAGAATTCAGTGGGGAATGTCTGTCCCCAGCAAAGGGGAAATGCACTTAAGTTGATAAACAGCACGAGGATAGTAACGCTTCAATAGTCTCTCAGGAAAACTGCCCGAAGCGGATGAGTGAAAAGGGAAAGAAGACAAAAATGAGAAAATTCAATCACTACCTTGGCCGCAAACCCTTTTCTATAGTACGTGTAATGAGGCATTACCACAATCTTCATAATGGCAGCAAAATTCAAATCGCTAAATGATCTTATTCCATAAATCTTCTAAGCCGCTATTAATTAAAAGCATGCTCAAAGAACGGACCAAACTCTTTAGACAGAAAATTTAGTTTGGAGCAGTTTCCAAGCATGTTTATATCCATACCTCTTAATATCCTCCAGAGCCTGTTTACGGCGTTGTATCTGAAGTTCTAGAATGTGGATCAATGTTGCTCTAGCCTGCACAAGCAAAATCAAAATAGAGAATGAGTACCACATAAATTCACAATCATTTAACAAGCAAAAACATGTCCAGATAACCCAACAATGTTTCACCTGATGAGGACGCAACGAGTTGAGCAAGTGGTGCAAGTTCTTGAATATAAGAGATATCTCCTCCACTCGTCTTGCATACTGTGATGGTCTCTCAACAAGAACATCAGCTAGCTCCAAAATATGCAGTTGCAATTCTCTGTTGAGCGACCTCAATTCCTTCTTGAAATCTAAAAATGGTCAAAAATAAATCTGGATTCAGCAAACAGAAAAATGGTGAGAGAATCGTGTTTTCTAACTGTCCAATAGCCACAAAATCCCACAGAAAAAACATGTATTACATACAAATTGCACTAAAATTTCACTCAAAAAATGTCTCAGGAGTTTCCATCTCATGAAATTTGATTACACTCAATAAACTTATTCTGTAACTATTGGCTCCTTCCTTATCAACTATCTGCTAAACTGAGCCGAATTAAGGGCTAATGTTCAACTACAAGCAGAAAAATAATACTACTAGCAACCAGTATCCAGGAATAAAGCATGCTAAAATTAACTCCAATAAATGATTTCGCAAAGTCATAGAAACAAAAATGAAAAAGCAAGAAAAAGAAATTACCAACGTTGGGTCCTTTGGGATAGAGTTGCCGTACCCCTTGCTCTTCCAAGCTTGGAAGCACATCATCAGTCTACCAGCCAAAAGAAACACCATAAAATCAAATTTCAATAAGTATAAATAATTGAGACCCAATCAAAATAATAATACGTAATTTACTGAAAAAAAAAAAGATAATCTCACAGTGTAACTGCCACCAAAGCAAACGTAGGTGCCTTCGATTGGAGGCGGAGGCTCCGGAGCCGATTTAGGGTTTTGTAGGTAATCTTTGTAGAGCCTATAATACGGCGGCGGTGGCGGGTATGTAGCTGTTGCCATCGTTGATCAGCCTGACACTTCCAAATTCTGCAGAGACTTATATAAATTTCAATTAACAAAGGGAGCTCAGTTTGGGTGCCGAGAAAACGCTAGAAAGTGAAACAGGAGGAAGATTGACAAGCTAAGATTCGAAATCGAATAAATGGGCCCAAAAGGGCTGGTTATATTCTGGGCCCGACCTGATTGAAGGCTCATCCGCCCAAAATTGAACCGGACCGGAATGGGCTAATTCTGAAAACCAAACAGGGACAAAAGATGCCTTGGTCAAAAAAGCGAGGCAGATTTTTCAGTCAACGGAAAAGGACCGTTAAAACAGTTGCATATAAAAACGAAAAGAAGCGGGCCTACCCTAATTTTAGCTTTGGCTTTTTCAGATTTTCTTTCTTTCTTTCTTTCGCCCTTTTTGAGAGAACGAGAGCGGTAAAAAACTAAAAAAATTTAAAGCCAATTTTGATGGTTAAATCCTCAGATTTTTTTTTTTACCTTCATTAGACAATTTTTTCTAAATTAAATTTTCTTTTTCATTTTTATGCTCTGCTAGCGAGGGATTTTCTTTGATCGGATCTCTGGACTTTGGCATTTGAAAATGATGGAGGTATTTCTCTCTATTTTTTTTCTTACTACATTTGATTTAAGGAATAATTAGAATCTAATTAATATTCGGTTCTTAATTTATGATCTTTCTAAATGTAGGAATTTTATGCTTTTCAAGGTTTTCTTTTTTCTATAATTTCGTTGCCCTGGAATTTGGAGTGATTATATCTAAATTGTCGGTGATTGGATCTTTAGAAAATCAATTGAGATTTGGTCAATATCGAATTAACCACAAAGAATGAGCTACGAGATTATAAAAGGACAATGAGAATCTGTGATTAGTTAGGGTGTAAAACTGTTCATTTTAAAAATTTTCATATTTTGTTAAGATAGGACCAGCAAATTGGTGAATTTATGACGTAATATATTGCCCTCTGATGCAGAAATTTAAAGCATTTGTTGCAATCCTTCGTGTTGCCATATGCGAAACTCAGGGCTGGTCGGAATAATTTTTGGAGAAATTTTTTATTTTTGTTATTCCAATGAGTTGAATTTGAAAGAGAAAGCCATAATTATTTGGCTGGAGTTTTTCTCTTTTGGTGGATTTGAGTTTGGCTGATTCAGGGTGGCAGTGATAATTTTACATAGATTTCTCATTGTTAATTGGCCACTCGAAATATTTCTTAATTTTGTTCACCCCCTTTAATAATCAAATGGCTAGCAAAGTATAATTTACAGGTAGACAGATCAAGGTTTATAATTCGATGATAGACATTCTTTTCTGAGAAATCTGGTTGCCCAAATAAGATGTCAACCTGTCTGTGTTTGTATTGGAAGCCAATCAATATGTTTCCTTGTTGATGATAGGCTATTGGATTTTAAAGTTGTTAAGTCTAGTACTCCTTTTGGTTGCCAAGTAGATTTTTTATAAAAGCCAGGCAGTAATATGTTGTATCTGATATCATTTTACAGGAATCTTCAAGCACGGATCCTCCTGCAAGTGATGTAGAACTTGTACCAAAGAAGATCAAAGATGCGAAAGAGGGAGGTCCAGCATTTCACTGTGACCTTTGTGATATAGAACTAGTTTACAAGATAGCTCAAGCATTCTTACCAGGTTTAGCTACAGCTTGTGTCGACAATACAACAGGTGATGTGTTCAGGTCCCCTGGTTCAGTGGCTGCAGAAATTAGAAAAGAAATGGTGGACTATCTCACACAAAGAAGTGAAACTTTTGTGGCTGAATCTGTTGTCTTGGAATCTGGTCCAGAGGCAGAAGCATCTGACCATCCTTACGATATCATTGCTTGTTTTATTGATGACTTTACGAGTTCAAAGAGGAATTTGTTTAGTCGAGTTTCGGGATGGCTACTAAGTGACAAGAGAGAAGACAAGATAGATGATTTTGCACAAGAAATGGAAATTAATGGGTTTTGGTCAATAGACAAGAGAGAAGCAATTGTACAAACTTTACTGAAAAATGTTGACTTCAAGAATGCATTTCACTGTGACATGAAATTTGAGTCAGTGGATGAACTTGCTTTGCATGTCTCAGCTTGTGGCTATAGATTAATGAACTGCGAAAATGAGGGGTGTAATGCTAGATTTTCAGCTAATCAAGCAGAGAAGCATGATGCAGTTTGCCCTTTCAAGATAATTCCATGTGAACAAGGGTGCTCAGATAGCATCATGAGGCGTGAGATGGACAGACACTGCATAACTGTCTGTCCAATGAAGCTTGTGAATTGCCCTTTCTATGCATCAGGTTGCCAATCAGCCATACCTCATTGTAAGATTGAAGAACATCGCTCCACAAACCTCCATTCTCACTTGCTATATATTCTTCAAGGCATTCACAAGGAAGCATCTGTGGAGGTTCTTAAAGAACGGGTTGAGCAACTGGAAAAGGTGAGTCAAGATGTGATTCAGAATGTCCTGCTCCAGTGCATATTTATTTTTCTTTTTTGCTACTATATGCAATCTGTTTCTAACTATCAAATGAGAGATAATTTACTGTTTAAGCACTCTATATCTTTCTTTGCCGTTTGTGAAGCCATTCTAGGAAATATCACGACGAAAGGCTTTATAGAATTATCTAACATCATAACTTTTGTGACTATCTTCTATTTCTCACTCAAAACAGGCATATTAGGAGAGAGCTTTAACAACCTGGCGTTTTGAACCTAATCTGTTAGTCTGTACTTATATTACTGAACTACTTTTGGTACAGAGGACAAATGTGAATGGAAGCCATATAAATGATACCTACAAGATTTAGGAATATCAAGGTCAATATCTTATTTGGATGAGTTGGTAATGGACATGCATTTAGCAGCCTTTCTTTCTCTAACGGTTGAGTGCTTTTCGAGATATGCTCTAGATGCAGTTGATGCATAATGTTTAAATGACCTGAGGAGCCTTATTCAAATGAAAGATGAAAGATGACATCTATTATTACCATGTTGATTCCTTTTTTCTTTTTAATATTCAAGCAATGCTCTTACGGGAATAGAGGTTGGGGATTTGCCACATTTTTGTGATACCACATGCAATTTGACTATTTTCTTACGTTTTTCCTTTTGTGCTTAATTTTATTTTCACCAAACATGTGATGTGATTTTAACACTCGAGGGAAGCAAGAAAATAATGACCAGTCTGAGTTAACTAAAACACAAATGATCAATTACCGTGACTACCTCTGAATTGATTTGTGTGCATTTGTACATGCTAAATACTAGGGAAGGATTAGAGGAAAAGAGTTTCTGCTATCCAATAGACCTTTCAAATTTCGTTATAATAGTGATAATGAGACAGGAATGCATGAAAGTATATGGCTTCAGCTCAACTTCAAGTTTGCAGCATAAACCATATACGGTGGAGAAGGATTGAAATGAAAGTCATTTCTGAAATAAATTGCATGTTTATCCTCTTTTGTAAACATTTGGATGACAGATTTCATGTCTCTTTTAATGAAAGCTATATTTTTCTTTCTACAACAGTCATCTTCTGGTAAGCTAGCAGACATCCGAGACGTGAGATCTCTAACATTCAGAGTCAAGGATCTTGATGCACGGCTTGGACCCTTGGTAGTTACTGCAACAAACAAAATTAATGAAGAAGCCACAGAGGCAGCAGCAAAGCTTGAATCTGTAGAAGTCAGTGACACAAACAAGGATATTGAAAAAGCTGTGGAAACTGAAGTCAAATATTCAGAAGCAAAGCCTCCATCATTAGAAATTACTCCAACAAACAAAGATAGCGAAGAAGCCACAAAAACTGAAATCAAGGATTCTGAAGCAAAGCTGCAGTCATTAGAAGTTGCACCAACGGACAAAGATAGTGAAGAAGCTTTAAAAATTGAAGTCAAGGATGCTGAAGGAAAGCCTCAGTCATCAGAAGATTCTACAACAAACAAAGATAGTGAAGAAGCTGCAGAAAGAATAGTTAATGATTCTGAAGCAAGGCCTCCATCATTAGAAGTTACTCCAACTAGCAAGGTTAATGAAGCAGCAATTGAGAATTCAGTCAAGGAAGTTGAAGAAACACTTCGGCCTTCAGAAGTTCACGCGACAAACAAAGCTAGTGAAGATGAAGGTATGGAGACTTCGGAACATATACCTACCAAAGTTGAAAGGTGAGGTGCGAATTGTTGGCTAATAGTTCTTTAACCAGCCATATACATTTCAGATACACAAGTGCATGTGGTTGTTTCCCTATATCCTTTCTTTCTGTTGAATTTTGGGGTTATGTTCAATACCCTTCTTACCTTTTTGTTAGCTTACATGCAATTTTTTACCGTACTTTTCATTACAATTTTGAGAGATTAAACAGGAAACTCGCTTCTTCTCTGCTTTATAAAGGAAATTCACAGGGGAGATCTAGCTTGATGATCCATCTAATACAATTACCTAGACAATTATTTTTCTTTTCTTTTCATTTTAAGTTTGTTTTCCTTCAAGAAAGAGAGGAAAATGCAGAAGGAAAGGATCAGATGAACAAAATTTGGATGCTTTTGTTCAAAATTTTGTCTTGTCTTTTTTGCATGTACGGTTTTCACTTCAGGAAAGAGAAAGAGAAAAGAGAATGGAGAGTCTTTCCACATATTGAAAATTTCCCCTTTAACAAAGAAAATAAAAAAGAAATGGAAAAAGGAAAGGGAATGGAAGAAAAAAAAAAGTTATAATACTATAAAAAGTCTTTAAATTATTTTAAAAAATTTAAATAAGTTTTTATTTTTTGTTGAATTTAATTATGTATTTCAATTTCAGACTAAAGCAGAAGTTATTTTAAACTGAATTTTTGAGAAGCACTTAAAAAATTAATTTTTTTAAAGAATAAATTAAAAAAAAAGTTCAAGATAAGAGCTTTCTCTTTATTTTCTTTTTAAAACATATCAATTTGTCAAAAAATACTCCTCTCGATCAATCTCTCTCTCCTCTCTTTTCTTTTACAAATTACCCTTTTCCAACTTAAGATCACAATTTCTTTCTCTTTTATTTTTCTCTATAAACACTATTACAAAAATTAAAAGACTTAACGACAAAATAGCAAAAATTAAAATTTTTTTATCCCTATAAAAATTAAGAGAAAAAAATTAAAATTTAAAAATGCATTCAGTTACTATTTAAAAATTTTTTGTTTTCTTTACAAAAAAATCTAATACTGTTAGAGTTGTTCCGTTTTGGATTTCTTTGTAAATTTCTTTGATTTTTAATATTTAAAATCATTTTTAAACTCGAAACAGATTTATTTTGCTTTAATTCATTAGAAGATTGAAAATGACATGAATAGCCGTTATGGTAATTTTAACCAAAAGAGCTTATATAATTTATTTTATCAAACTACTTATCAAAATTTTAAAAATTATTATTTTTTATAAAAACTTCATAGTAGTTTTTAAGATAAAAAAAATTAAACCAAACAAGTTTTAAATAAATTCTTATAACTAATGTATAATTAATTATTATTAATTAAAATAACAAGTTATTTTTATATCACGTAATATGTTAACTTATCATAATAAAAAGTGAGATCATGTTACAATATCACATGAACATCACATGTTATAAAAATGAGAGATGTTATTTTGATAAACGACAATTAATCAATCATTAATTATAAAAATTTTTACCATAATAATAAAAATAAAAATTTATTTAATATTTTAAAAATATTTTTAAATTTTTTAAATATTATATCAAAAAAATATATAATAAAAAAATAAAAAATTCTAATGTTGAAAATTTTAAAATGTTAAAGCACATAAGTGGCAATTGGGAAATATGAGAAAGGCAGCCTCAGTTATTAGTAGAGTGAGCAGTGGCCAACAACATGTGCTCATTATGATATTTTGGTGACAATTGGGTGTTTCTGGCTCGTTGATCGTGTCATGTTATAACATAAAGTAAACTGCGGCCAAAAATAGCTACTTCATGGGGTGGGTTTGGTTTTCCCTAAGATCCAATAAAGCATACATCCAATGTGCTGCTGTCACCATCATTCTTCAACATTAATTTCTATATAAAACAAACACACTATAAACATAGTCAAATAAATACTAGTACTATTCTTTTTAATTGAAGATTATTAGATTGCAATCCAACTTGATTCTAAATTATTATTTCATTAATAAATAGCACATAATAATATCTAAAGTTAATGTAAATATTTTATAATCTTAAATTGGATCATTTATACATTAATTAGCGAAATTCTAAAAAATATTATTATAAACATGAAAATGAAAGACGCCGGCTATTAGACTCAAAGCTTGGTTTTAAAAACATAATAATGATAATATATAAATTAGATTGGATTGAGTCAACTAAGTGGAGCCTGATAAATATCAATATCTTTAAGCACAAACTTTGAAATCAAAATTCAATAAAAAAAAAAACCACATATGTCATGGAATTTATAATAATAAGAGAAATTATGAATGAATCTGAAATTTATAAATAATGATTTTATTTTATTTAATAAATATGTTTTTAAATTAAAAATATCAAAGTCAAAAATAATTTAAGATCAAAATAAATCCCCCGCACGTACGTGGCTCAAACACGTGCCTCGTTATGAATATCAGCTGAGCGGCCACGTCCCGACTGAAAAATCTAAAGGACAAGATTAAGTAATTTTAGCCTCAGCTCTTATCCCCACTGTCCACCCAGCGACTGCTACATATACCCAACTTCGACACCCAATAAAAGGGAAAGTTTGAAATTTCAGACATGGGAGTGGTGATCATCGACGGATCAACGGTGAGAGCCTTCGTGGCGGACGAGGAACAGTTCAAGAAGAGCGCGGACGAGAGTTTCGCAGCACTTGACCTCAACAACGACGGGGTTCTATCCAGGTCCGAGCTACGGAAGGCATTCGAGTCCCTGCGCCTCATCGAGACCCACTTCGGGGTCGATGTGGCCACGCCCCCGGAGCAGCTCACCCAGCTCTACGACTCCATATTTGACAAGTTCGATTGTGATCGCAGCGGTAGCGTCGACCTGCCGGAGTTCAGATCCGAGATGAAGAAGATCTTGCTTGCTATTGCCGATGGACTGGGGTCTTGCCCTATCCAGATGGCTCTCGAGGATGATGAGCAAAGTTTTCTCAAGAAGGCTGCTGACCTTGAGGCTGCCAAGCTTGAGGCTCAAGCTTCCTGATCGATGCTGCAAGGTTTGTGAACTAAATAATAACGTGCAGTGCAAATGCTATGACTAGGTCTACGAGTGCTGTGCTTGTTTGGTTGTAATTCTAGCTAGTTTGGAAGGGCATGTTTATTCCTGCTAAAGACTGTTAGTACTTGGTTGACAATTTACTTATGTACCATGGATTTCGTGTCTTCCAATGTATAGTTTACTCAGAATTCCAAGGGGCAATAAGATTAGATGAGGTAATTCTCCTTAAAACCCCAAGTATAAATCCAAGTTCTAAGTTCTAACCCATGATTCACCCTATAAGTTGTGAAGAAGTATTTTAAGTAATGATTCACCCGCAAACTGCTATATCACAACCATTGGTGGTTATTTGGCTTCTCAACTTTCAATCTAATCAAAAAGCTCAGGGCTGCTGGCCACCGCCTACATACAGCCACCATATGGCATGCCAGGCTCCAAAGCAGCGGCTTATTGGCCATTCTTTTATCCTTTCAGATTACGCCTAGTTTCAAAATTGAAACATTGTTCTAAGTAGCAGTAAACAAACATTCAAAATATATAAAGATATCAAGACCAGCACAGACAAATGCCATAATAAGTCCCATAGCTCTCACATCCATAGATGAAAAGTACAAAATCCAATAATCAAAGTTCAAAAGCCTTCTAAAAATTCTCGAGGCAAATAACTTATAAGATTAAAAAAAAAACAAAATTAGCTTCAAGATTACTGCAGAGTATCAACCTCGAACACCCCGGTGGAGATTGACCATGCGAGCTGAAGCATCCATCTGGGAACCTCTCATTCCTGAACCTGTCCTCCCAGAATACCCACCTAGTGCTCTTGATTGACCAGACCGATCCCTCGAATAACCACCTCCAGCACTCTGTCCTAATGCCAATGGTCTACCACCAGCATTATATCCTGAACGCCCAGAACTACCTTGCCTTCCCTGACTGAAGGGCAAGTCTTGCCACCTACCAACAGCGGCTGTCCCAGCAGCAAATTCCTGGTTATCTCGCCGCCTTAATGGCAGATCCAATCCACCACCACCAATTCTTGCCTCTACTGCCCTTTCGTTACTTTCAGCAAGTACTGAAAGCTTCTCTGTCAGCTGGAATGCCAAAGCCTGCAACCTTGAGTGCTCAACATCATGGAAGACAATGCACCGTGTTGGCTGGTCCCAACTTGCATGGAGTTCTTCATTTATCATCATCTTGCTAACTATGCTATGAGTCTGGGAATCTGAAAGGTCAAACATTTTTGTGAGCTGGTCCAAGCTTAGCGAATCATAGGATGAGCAGTAAGTAAATAGGTAAGTCCTCAAAGCCTCTTCCTTGATCTTGGCTTTCAGCATGTCGAGCACATTCTCCCGATTTCTAAGAAGCTTCCAAACATCGAGGGAATTAATGACATCAAAGGCCTTCTGGAAATCTCCCTTGCAAAGGGCTCTGGTGGCAGCCATTACATGGTCGCGCACATTTTCAGGGGGACCTGTAAATGTCTGCCTCTCACTCATCTCAAGCAACCGCCTAAATGTCTTACTTATCACCTTCCGTTTGGCATCTAGAGTGTTGGCTGCCATGTTAGGCACCTCAAGCAGCATTGCACATATCAAATGCACAGCCTCCAGAAGCTCAAGGTTGATGTGCATATGGTAGGGCATCTGGCGCCTCCTTTCCAACCTTTCCTGTAAGAATACACAGATTCACATGTGTAAGTCCTTAAACAACTATATAATAATATGGAATCCCCATTAGAGTTCATAATATCACAATGTTTACAAATGGAGGTGAAATTCAAAACTTCTTTATGCTACCACATTTGTTTCTATAACTTAAAACATCAAAATGCCTCAAAGAAACATCATCTGTTCAACCACATTGGAAAGAACACCATTTAACCAACTAATCAAATATTTGTTAAAAATTCAAACTAAATCAGAAATAAACAAATGAAAGCATCAAATGCAAAAAGTGAAAAAACAATGCTATACAGACATTAAGATTATCAGTTCAACCAATTGGGATTATAATCTGCCAAGGATCATATGATAATCAGTACCTGTTCTGGAGTCTTCTCATGATATCGACTTTGTGAGACACCTTGTGCAAGCAATTCCTTCACTCTCCCACCAGAATACAGTTCGGAAAGGCAGCCATGTCCTTCGGCAATTAGTCCAACGCGGAAGGCACAAAGTCCAACCTGTGCCATTGCCCGGTTAAAAAGTATCTGTGTTGAAACATCCATATGCTGAATTTTATCCTGCAAATGACTCATCAGCAGCAAATCACGAGCTACAGAAAACTCATCAAAAAGGGCATGTTGATAAATATCACAAAGCATAGCACGGGCTTTGGTCCGGTCATCTCCACTTTTGTATATGAGAGACACTAGGATATCCATCAATGCTCTACTATTCTCAGGAAAGGAAGGCTTTCGAGACACAAGCTCTGGAGTGACAACAAATGCAGATGGACCCCGACTTTCCTCCACTTTAGGCTCATCACCATCTTTTTCTCCATCAGCATCTCCTGATAGCTCAGCCAGTTTCCTCATAGCATCATAAACCTCTTGAGGCTTATAATAGATGAGTTCAACACGCCTTAGAGCAACTTTAGCAGCAGATTTCAAATCACCAATACGCTCAAAATACTCCTGGACATTGTGAGCAAGGACCAAAAACATAGGTTCATCTCTCAGTCTTTCAACATATTCACGCGTGTGTGGATCAATGCACTGCAAGCTCTTGAAGAACTCATTATCTATTCTCTCAAGGAAGGCCACCAAATTTCCCCAAACACGGATTGTGCCATTATAGTCTGCTCCCTTCTGTGTTTCATTCTCATCAGGCTCAACCATATCATCAACCACGATGTTAGGGTACTGAACAAGAATG